ACCACTGCATCATTACGGTGTGCCCACCACTGCATCATTACAGTGTGCCCACCACCCCATCATTACAGTGTGCCCACCACTGCATCATTACAGTGTGCCCACCACTGCATCATTACAGTGTGCCCACCACTGCATCATTACAGTGTGCCTACCACTGCATCATTACAGTGTGTACCCACCACTGAATCATTACAGTGTGCCCACCACTGCATCATTACAGTGTGCCCACCACTGCATCATTACAGTGTGTGCCTACCACTGCATGATTACAGTGTGTCCCATCAGTGCATGGCTACAGTGTGTTACCACCACTCCATCATTTACAGTGTGTGCCCATCAGTGCATGATTACAGTGTGTCCCATCACTGCATGGTTACAGTGTGTTCCCACCACTCCATCATTTACAGTGTGTGCCCATCACTGCATGGTTGCAGTGTGCTCGCCCCTCCATTATTAGTGTGTGCCGTACCACTGTGCTGTTACAGCATTTGCTCTACCACTCAATCACTTCCAGAGTAGCAGCTCTATTCAAACTGTTTCCTTGTAATCATTGGGACCCTTTAAGACTTCTGTTTCTCATTTTCTTTTGTTTTCACTGTATGTGCTTCACTGAGGAATTAAATCCAAATTACCACTTTAAAGTCCTGGAAAGCTGTCTCATTCTGTATAGTTATGCCAACAACCCCTAACTCAGTTTATTCTGATTCTTAGATTTTGCTTCTGCTTTTCAGAGAATCAAAGTAAAATCAGTGGAATGATTGATGCTCATAGAAACCTACCTTTTCTACCTGTTTTCTGTACTGAGTTCCCCTCTGCATTTCCACAAACCTTTCCTTATACTTCATGGGTTTTATTCTTTCAAACCTCAAAGACACACACATCCTTAGACATACAACCATAATCAAAGCTGGTAATCTTTTATAAAAGGTACATATAACTTGGCACTCTATAGTAGATCCTGGTATTAGGATGAACACGTTTACACCAGTGTTCTTGTGGTGCAGCTCTCTGCTATGATGTGTTCTGTTCCTGTCAACAACTTATCGCTGAGAGATGCACTGGAAAAGATTTCAAGGACTGGGAATTCTAGGTTAAAGGGTAAAAGTTCCTGTGTGGTTTGGCTACTCTTTTCAGATTGTGTCTGACGAAGGTAGCATTGTCTGAGGATCTGTTCCCAGTAGCCTTGCCGACAGAGAATCCTGTCGGGGTTTGGAATCTGAGTCCACCTCACAGTTCATAAATGGCATCTCAGAGAATTGCAAATTATCTTTTCTCCCAGTGCTAGGCAAGCACTCCACCGCTGAGCTTTTCCCCCACCTCTTAAGTTGCCTATTTTTAGTTTTGGGAGAACATGTAATAAACAAATAATAATCGCTTGTTACCAACAACATCTACACCTGTGCAAGATCTTGATTCCATAGAAGCCAAGCTCCCGTCTCTGAGAGCCAACAGCTCCTAACAGCACATTCTCTTAGGTGTCTTTGTCATGTGCGTGGAACCTAGGAGAGGACCATTGCTGTAAGCTACACCAATGAGCCACAGCCTCAGTACCATTTATGGGAGGTTTCCAGGAACCTCTTGTGTCAGAGCTGAGTCTCAAATAGCTGCCAGAAGTTTATGAATCCCATGAAGGGACAGACATTCCAGAGAAAGGAAATGAGCAGCACTAAGAAGTGCTGAAATGGGGAAGCATGTGTCACAGGTCCTGGAAAATGCACAGCACAGAGTGAGTCAGAGCATCCGTATCTAGGTAAAGGGAAAGAGTGAAGTGGGTAAGGCTGTTCTAGAGAGGGCAAGCGTGGATATGCATGTCAAGGTGATATCTGAAGATCAGTCTCTACTGGGAGGAAGCCAAGCCCATTCTGGGGCTGCTGTGATCAATGACAGTAAGAAGGAGAAACTGAGGTCTGACTGGTAACAAATACCGAAAGCAAAAGTGGTGAGGGAGAGGTGAGGACGCTCGGTAGATACCTAGGATATTGGATCTTCACTCCAAATATGGTCAACAAGAGAGGCAGACGTGAAGAGTATAGTAAATGTGGGCTGAAGAGCCTGCCGTCCTTGGAGACCCAGAAGGAAGAATGCAGCTGAGCCACTCCAGACCTCAGTGAGGGATTCTTTACAGATGGAGTTGGCCATGAAAGTCTGATAATTCAGTGTTCAAGCTCAACAGGGGCCAGAGCCGGAGGAGACATCTTGTCCTGGATTACCTGGGCTTTTTCTTTTAGCATTAAGAGTTTTTCATTTGAAAATCTGGACAGTTGGTATCCAATCCAGCAGTACTCTCAGTACTGGCATTGCTTTCTCGGGGCTGGTGCAAAAGTACCACCAACTGGATAATTTCCTGATGCCTTCTCTCACAGTGTGCTGGCCAGTAGTCTCCTATGATGATGCTAATGAGGCTGTGCTCTCTCTGATGACTCTAGAGACTTGTTTCTTGTGGACAGCAGCAGTGAGTGGTCTGCCTTGGTTCACAGTTGCATTGACTTGACCAGTCTCCTAGGCTTAGGCTATACGCTCTCTACAATTTCCCCTCTGTGTCTTTCTGTCTTCTGTTGTACTATGCCACTTTGTATTAGGGCTAACCCAAATCTACTATCACCTTGTCTCAAACAGCTCATCTGGAAAAGCAATGTTCAAGCTGTGCCACATCCACAGGTTCCTTTGTTTAAGAGTCAAAGGGATGTTTCTGTGTAGGCCCAGCACAGACCCTATCATGTTGTTATACCAGGGCTGTGTAGGGGGAGAAAGTAAAACACATTTCATGTAAAGCTAAATGTGTGAATCCAAGGAGACAAAAATGTGAGTCGTGCAGGGGCAGGAAGACAGGAAATAGCTTTGAAAGGAGCATTATTGAATAAGCCTTAGTGAAGACAGGAAGAAGCCTTAGTGAAGACAGGAA